TAGAATAAGGCAGAGTGAAGCCGAGGAAGAAGGATTGGGAGACAATGAGGGGTTGAGGGGAGGACAGCCCCATCCCTTTCAGTGGGGAGATGCACACCGCTGAACCCACCCACTCTGCGATGTTGTCAGGCACCTCCAGAATCTTCTCCAACTCTCCTGAGCGTAGAAAGATGGAGTTTGAATAGGGAGGAAAACCTGCCTTTCCTGACATTCGTCTCACCACCAACCTGTTTCACCGACAGTCTCGAGGGACCAGAGCCAGGTCTCTGGAAAGTAGTCGCGAACCTTGGTGGCACGAGAATCGTCGTAGTAGTAGTAGTAATAGTCGTAGTCCTCATGGGGTGACTCCTTGATCTCGGGTACCAATGCGGATGGTGGTGCTGCATCATCCACCTGCGGGTCGGTTTCTTCCTCTGCTGGTTGACGTCCCTCAATCTCCCCATCTCCCCAATTACTAAAGATACTACAGGGGATGGTGAAGACGCTCAGGTTGGATAGCACCACGAGGCCCGAACGCTGCAGAGGGAATGATATCCGGCCAACACTCACGCGATGCAATTAAGAGAGGCATTTATTATGTGAGCTTACATCAAAGGATGTGAGGGCGTGACTGTGGGAATATTCACTTTCGAAACCATCCTGTGGGTGGTAGTTCTCTTCTGCATGGCAAAGAAAACCCAATCGTTAAGACGTCTTTTAACGAAATTCAGTTCCCTAGTAGCTCCTGAGGTAAATGTTTTGTCATTAGCTTTTGAAAGGAGTGTGCAGACTTGGAAAAGTATAGGGCTCTACTGGGACATGGTGAGGAATGCTGAGGAAAGTTTGGACAGGAGAAAATGGTATAATGCTTTTCTTATTGTTGAAATTTGGCCTTATTGCATTAAGATGAGACGATTTTTTTGGACTCTTGATCCAAGAGGTATCGCCTCCGGACATAAGCTTCCATTAATTTCTCACTCATAAAAATCCGTTCATCCCTCTTTTATGTATAGGTATATGGATGAGAGATGGCCGAGCACCGAATTCACACAAACAATTTTCTTTTCAATTCACACAAACAATTTTCTTCGAAGTTGCGGAAGTTTTCATGAGTTTCAGATTTCCCGACATAACTGTCTTGCACGGTTTTCCGTGCGAGACGCACTCTTCGCCACCCAGTCTGCTTTCACGACATGCTCATTATTCTGAACCGTTCCGCCTGAAAATGCGTAGGGTAAACACTCCAGTTTTTGGCCACGCAGATACGACTCCCACAGGAAGTAGACACCCTGTGCGCACATCGAGAAACACTAGTAATAGGTCCTCGCACGGGAAGATGATAGAATGCTTGAAACGGCCAGATTAAATAATTATGCTGGATTTAAGCCTCACCGGCCAACAACTGAAGACCGGAAACAGAGAGCTTAGAGGCCTATGCGGGCTGCGGGCCCAAGTTCAACACGGTTCGCGGCTCCAAGCAGCAAAGCTCGATCGACGATCACTTTCCGGGTCGGGTGCGGGTGACGATTCGCACCGGGCGGATTGAGTTTCTACTCGGAAAAGTAAACCCGTGCAGGCCTCTGACGCGCAGACAGCAGGACCCGTGGAAATGACGTTTCCAGCATACTCTATGGACCTTCGACCCAGTAAGTATCGCCTCCAGGTCATGAGCTTTCCATTCATACCTTTTTCGATTGAAAAGCCGTTCGTCCGCCCAGTAGGAATTTCCCGGAATGAAAGACAGATTAGCCTTTCATGTATATGGAGAAGATGCTTGGACATCTTTATGTCCGGAAACACCATGTGCGCACGCGCGGCGCCATCATTCTGCTTGGCTCTGGGTGTCTGTCTCGCTCTCTCGAACGAGCATTTTCTTATCCGGTCGTTGCCACTATCAGATCCATTCTCGAGAACGGGAGAGTCATTACACATCTTATCCACGGCTTCCCCCCCCCCCTCCCTACTTATGGGGTATTCGCACCTTCAAAGTAGGGGGGGGGGGGGGAGAAGACGCGCAAAAGGTCCCAACCCATAACACTTGGGGTCCCGTTTCATCCCGCTGGAGGAATGATGACTTCCTTGCCGGGACGAGATCTCCGCCCTTAAATTCGTCCGGATCTCGGGCCCTTAATCGATGAGAACCCCGTCCTCGCATTGATCGGCACCCTCACGAGGAGAGTGACTCACGAGGTTGAAAGCTGCGGGATTCCATCCGGATGGAATGGAACAGGAGCGCTTACGGAAGTCTTTCCGAGCCGTCCGTCACGTAGTAACCATCCCATTTCTCTAGCGTATTTTCATTCAGAGGCTTATATGAAAAGTGGTGTAGATGGACACGTAACTACCAGGCGAATGATACTCTGAAATGTTTTTGTTCATCTTTTTCTTAGACTAATATACAACTGTGACAAAAACACGACTGAATCACGTATTGATACCGCGGCACAACGCGAAGACAGGCTACATTTTGACCGTGAGACATGACAATAGACAGAAACAGAGCATACGGGATGAGTTCTTTTGGTGCCGATGACGGAGGCAGAAGTCCGAGTCCGTGCTCTGAGCGGGGAACTCGGCTTCATGGATTTGCAAGGACTTCACCGCCTGGAACACGCTCTCCAGATTGATCTGATGCTCCGGGTGCAGGAGGTTCACACTCTTGTGCACCACCTTCAACCCGCACACAGAATTGGGTTCGGCCTTCAACTTCAGTCCAACTTTCGATCCAGGTCTCACTTCCTCCTGGCTCCAATTCAGTTCCACCTGCGACGCAAAAGGACGACAAACGTGATCGTGATGAGCAAACGACGACGCATCTCGTGACGATGAAGAAATAATACCTTATTCGGGAGGCACCGATCCACCTGGAAGGTGAAGTAATCGGACACCACCTCTCCGTCAGCTCTTACGTAAAAGACCACCAGTTTACTCTCTGGCGCCATCTCGGGGATCACGGGGATCTCGACGGCGGTCACGCTCAGGCGCTGAGGATCGGAGATCTCCTCGGACTCGTAGAGCAGCAACTCCGGGTCGATGAAATCCTCCATCTTCCCATCTGCCTTGCGATCGAAGTCCGCGGAAGCCAGAATGTTCCCTCGTGAAATTATCTGCACGTGGTATACAATCCGCGAAGGTCAAAGAGAGAAATATTCAATAACGCAATATTTAATAAAACTATACAGCAAAGCAGAAACGTACAGCGAGGTACATACTTTGTACGTTATGAAGTACTGTACAAACGTATGTCGTAAAAGGAGTTCGTTAAAAAGGTACCAAAGAAAAATAAGAAACATAAGCGAACCCTTCTCATCCCAATCAGAAGGTTCGGATCGGGCCTCTTCATTAGGATTCCCCGTGTTCGTCATTTCGGGCTGAAAGACCTTTGATAAACCTGCTTACACACCTCAGTTCTCAGCTCGGAGGAGCCTCAAAGTCGGCTCATTTCACACCATCATCCGGCACCCCGTCACCCGCAATCGGCGACAGCCGCAGATAAAACCTCGGCCAGGTCCCCGCAGCACGTGCTGGCTGCCTCCATTCATCGCGAGTAGGTCCACGCTATTTTTAAAGACGATCTTTAAAGGCTTATTGGATGTTGGCCGCTCATTCGCCCGGGAGAAAAAGCTCCTGTAAGTTATTTAGTAAGTTATTATTTCCGATTCCCTGTCCTCGTGCAAAACCCCAGCGTTAAAAATTGTCTAGATTCATTGATTGGCATTGAAACATGATAATTATACTTTTGCCAAATACTACTTTATAAGTGTCGAGATGAGATGGATGCAGGGAAATGAAGAAAACACTTCTCCTAAGGTCTGGTGCGTCGTGACTTGAGTTGAAATGTTCGGGGCGAACATAAACGCCGCTTCATGCCTTTTCTGAGCATTCTGTTGGGAAAATGGACATCTGCGTCGGCAACGCACCCATGTGTATGGACCACATCCGCACGACGGTACGCATGCGGACCCGATAGACGAAAATGTGTACGTCTCACATTTGTACCTTCCCTTGTACGCTTCTACATTGCAGTAAATAATATTGAATCGACACTGAATTTATATCCGGACGTTTAATGAGCGTCAAATCGTTGTTGAACTGTCGTGGTCTTCATATATGAAGCCTTGTGAAGTCCACGACAGCTAAAGCAATGACTTGGAGACTCATAGCTTTCATATAGGAGTTCAGAGAGAAGAACTCGTAATTGAGATGATTCCTCGTGTTGAAGAAACTCGATGATCCCTGGCGTTCTGATAATTCAATGCTTTTCACAGCAAAGGTGTCAGAATAATCATCCGGTGAAGTGAGCCATGAAAGCAAAGACATAGCTTACGTCTTGCTTTATTTCCCCCACAACCGTGGGAAAATATCACCCCACGCTATCTCTTAAAAACTCTAACTCCAGTTTCCCTCTCTTTTCCCACTGAGAAGAGAACAAAGTTTCTCAAGTTTCCGATTCTTTTTGCTTTTCTGAGGTAAAAAAAAATGAGAAAAATGAGCTACAAGAGAGGGAAGCTAGAGTTGGAAGTAGCCTCTTTTCAACTGTGAAGAGACACACAACGTTGATTTAACATACCATATTTAACTAAAATTTCTGACAGTGAACTTTGCATTGTAGCTTTCCATTTCTGAGCCGTTAAAGATACTCGAGAACGGAACAATGTCAGAGATCGCTCGCAGAAAAGTCCTGACGGATCAGCCTGAATTCCTTCGCTGCAAAATTCACGGTGAATTTTCTCCCGTTAAACCCAATCGCCGAATGAACGAAAAAATTCGACCTGATAGTGGAAGCGACTGGGGACCCCGGCTGGCGAGTCCGAGTGGGAGACCCGAAACCGAACGGAGCCTCTGCAGCCCTCCATCTCCCCCTTCCCCGAAGGTCGGAGGATCTGGATGTAGCTGCTGGACGGGGAATGCCACTCGCCCACGGTCACCCTCCGTCTCCCTGCATAGATCTGCCTATTCCAACCGTATCGCCTTCCCTCCTTTCTTTTCGGGTAGTCCTTGGTCATCTCTGGGGCCGACACCTGTGGGCACGCAGGCTTTTCAGCTCTCTTTCGTCTTGCTAAGCGGACTTACACTAAATGTTTCTGACCGATTTCGGCGACGAATCTTTCTGATGCGATCAATAAAGAACCTAATACAGGCAATCGATTTTAACCACTACGTTTGCCAAAAAGTTACACGACGGGGAGAAACAGAATTAGGAAAGTTAATATACACTCTTTCCCAAAATTCTCATCCATCATTAAGTAATAATAGTTCTAGACTTAAAATGGTAATGCTTCCAACCACGAAGCGAAAAACTCCAATGAACAATATTTAATAAATGAATTTGATTTAGACTAAACAGAAATATGCTAAAGGAATACCTCGAGCAAAAACGAGCCGATGTTGCCGAGCTTTGGAGGAATCTGGAACCGGACAAGGCCGCGAGAATCCGAGGTGTAGTTCCGACATTTCTCCGCTCCTTCCCGCTCTGAAACATCCGATGCATTTATGGGCGGATTTTCCAGATTATCCAGAGTGATCGACGCGCACCTGGATATTTCGTGCATCATGCGCTAACGCTCACCGTCGGGATTTTCGCAGATGAGGATCTTCTGACCCTGCGCGGGCGATCCGGCCCGGAACTTCAACTTCACCTGTGGACACGGAATGCCACACCGTAGCAACACGGAGCCTCGTCCTGCCGGATTTACGATGATCCTGCTCGCAAGAGCGGAATACTAATCGACGCGGTCCCATAGGGATCAATGAGCGCCTATCATCTTCCTTCATCTTCCCGTTAAAAAAAAACTCCACCGCCTCGTATTCCTTCCTAAGAGCATCTGGAGAAACGAAGAGCGCCGGCTTAAAAGATGAATTTACCTGCCGCTCGTTTAGACTCAACGTGCGGCTTCCAGTCTCATTCCCCAAGGTCGCCTGCTGGAGTTAAGTAGAGTCGATGTCGGATTCTCCTTTCGGTTCGGAGCCGGAGTCTTCCGTTTTTCAACGTATGAGACATTTTTGTGCTGGGTTCATGAAATGAGCTCAGATTGAAACGCTGGTTGGCTGTAAGGAAAGTTGGCTGCACGAGCGGAAACTTTTTCAGATGCGAAAACTGCACGTAAACGTGTAGGCCCTCTTCCATATATATTTTTTCCGAGAATAACGCAGGGATTCATGACACACGCGGTACTATTACCTATTCCATTATCGACTCGATCAAACGTCGTGGCTCACCAGTCCATCGTAGACGAAACCAGGTCTGAAATGAATCGGAGAGGAATCCACATCGATTTCCAGGGGATTCCGCTCGACTCGTAGGATCACGGAATCCGTGATCTCGACCCCCGTCCCCTTCTCCTTCACGGCGGCCGTGATGGTAATGGACTGCGGGGCCAGCTCCTCGTTGTCCATCCCCAGGGCCTCCGTCGGGATGCTTTCCTTGTGGCAGCCCTTCATCTAAGAGGGGAAGTCAAAGCATGATTGAAGATTGGAATTGGAGGAGTCCGATATCCGTTTAACAGAGGTAAAATGAGGGATGGGCAACCGGACTTTAGTGTTCCGTCTCGTCCGAAATAAACCCTTCATCGAATTAAATTGGAAGGCAGAAATAAGTGTTAGTGGAAACCATGGAGGTTAAAGCCTTTTCTCCCACTCTTCATTCTTGGCAACCATTTACATCGTGGCAACCTCTTGGCAACCTCTTGGCAACCATTTACATCGTGGCAACCTCTTGGCAACCATTTACATCGTGGCAAGATTCGTATTTCGCTTTTCTTTCTGCGATGTATATCGGGAATGTCTTCGATGAAGCCACGATGCGGGGAATTGAGTTTCCTAAAGAGTCTTTTGAAGGGGAAAGGGAACTCAACGCGTCTTCTAACTCACGTGATGCTGGAAGATGAAAGAGTATCTGTCCACGTCGATCTTGAACTCCTTCGTCAATCCTGGATATCTGACTCTGAAGGTCTCCATAATGGGGATGAACGGCTCCACTCTCAGGATCAATTCGCCCTCCACTGGTCCAACGTGGGGGTACCTGAATACATACGTGTAACCGAGGCCAGACGTTAATTAACTCTCTAAAGGCGTGAAGAGTGCGGAAGTTCATCCACAATGACGACCCAGAAAACATAGTAGCGTTGGGGGAACGTTCAGCTTTTATCGATACAATTTCATCAACGTTGAAGGTCCAAGTCCAACGTTGCATGAATGGCTTATCAGTGTTAAGGCACTATGATACCATCTTTGAATCGTATTTTGAATAATATTTCTGATAACATCAGGGAGAATGCCTGCCCAATAGGATATACTACTTTCTTCCAGAACCGACCGAGAACCTGCCCAGTATTACCACCTAACGTTGACTTGCTTCTGCTTAGACGTTCAGCAAAGCCATTTATCAGGGATTCTAGGAACGTATCACAAGATGAAAACTGCAAAGCGCCATGAAATGCTGAATCGTTGTCCAGAAGAAACTCTGACATGGAACGTGACAGTGCTTTTTGGGGAATGTTCAACCAATCTTCAACTTCGACTTGCACCCCACTCCATCATCACCAGATATGAATTTAATGCTGGGCCAACAATGGGCACGTCGGATACACCTTGGCCAATATTGCCATATATGGCTAAATATTTGCTTCCCAATATTGCAATTACATCATCGATCCGATATCGGACCGATGCGTTGATGCAACGTGCCCAAGTTTCGCTTGGAAGTTTTCGCGAAATGCCAAAGTTCTCTTCCATGGCACTAGATGGCGGAATGGATATGGGTCTCCATATCCCAACAGTACGTAAAAGTGCCCTTCACTCTTTCCGTGGAATCATCCCGTACAGGTGTGCCTAGTACCTCGTCATAAGACTCGCCTAGTCACATTATTGCAATCAATAAACTTGGATACTTCATCCTTTCTTATCTCCATATTCCTGACAAAATCATAGAATGCAGGTCATAAACAAGCTCATAATCCCTATGAAAACCCCTTACGAGGGTTAATTTATCCTACCTGAAAGTACGAAAGATGATCGGAAAGTGAGAAGACAAGGCCTGTGGTTCAGAAATCAGGGATCTGCGATCGATATGATAGGCGCATTCCCCAGTTCGAGGTTGGCGACTCTGTGAGCCGAGGCCAGCGCCGTCGGGCAGGAGCAATGGCAGTCCGAACGTTGCGACTCGCATGGAGACATGGTCACGCGAGGAAGTTCGCCGTGTTGTCGGTTTTTTATGGGCGAACAACGGGCCAGCGGCCGAAATTCATCGAAAACTTGTGGAAGTCTACGGAGACATCGTCAAGAACCAGCAGAACTAGCCAGAATGGTGCAAGCAGTTTCGAAATCCCAGTTCAAAGCAACAGTCTCAGCGAGAAAGGAGATAGGAACTGTCTTTTGGGATCAGGAGAGCGTGCTCTTAGTGGACTTACTGCAGCACGGGTCGACTGTTAACGCTGCTGTATACTTTGCAACGTTAGAACGACTGCATGAAGCCATCCAAAGGAAACGTCCAGAAAGCCAAAAAAAAAAAAACCAAAACGAATAACATTGCGAACTGCCTCGCATGACCATATTTCCAAACGAGTCGCCACGACCAGTCTGCCACTGCTGATGCCCTACGGAACTGGCCTCGGCTCCCAGCTCTCAGAGTCGCCAACCAGCTGATCTTGCGAATGCGCCTATCATGCTACTATCGATCACAGGTCCGCGATTTCAATACCACAGGCCTTGTGTTCTCACTTTTCGATCACCCTTCGTAGTTTCTGCAACGTGATGATGTCCTTAGGCTCTGCCCACCATTTTTTCATCTTGAGGGCAGATCGAGAATTTTAACCCTCTGAAGGAAATAAGGAACCGAGCTTGTGGATTCGCCATGGGATGCGAGAAGATCAATTTTCCCTTTTAATGAACTACAAGTAGCACATGCGGGGGAAGATCGGCCCCTGTAGCAGTTCTCCGTCTCTGGCCTATCCATGGGACACACTTGTGCATGGGTAGGATGATATACTACTAGTACTGCAGATGTAAATATCTCTACCAAGGGCTTACCTCATTGGGGTAGTGGAATTACAGTAAACAGCAACGCCAAATGAGCCCCGGTAGTAATCCCAATAATAATCCAAGATGGGTGCCAATACTGGGCTAATACGTATATTCGTTGGCAGTTCAATATTGATTCAATATTGGGGAGCTACTGGGGAGTGAGCGTTCCCATAAGCGACATATTACAATGTTGGCCTAAAGTTCAGCTAGTGTTGAACTTCAACGTTCATCTGGGTATTGCAAAAAGCGACATTGAAATATTGACTTAATGTTAGATGCAACTTAGATGCATGCTCGTAAGGTTCAAAGTAAACGTCCATATAACGCTGACTGAATGTTCGTTATTTGTTGGGGAAGAGCTTACCCAGCTAAAACGGGCAACTTACAGCAACTTACAGCAACTTACACTAGAGCAACTTAAGAAATTTCACATTTAAGTGTCGCAGTGTTCGAGTGTTCTTCATTGCCCAAAATGAGCATAACGAACTATGTGCAACAATGACCGGTGCCGCGGAGCTGCCATCTGGTGTTGGCTCAACCATGGAAAGGTTCTCAAAATCGACGTTTCCCCTTTTTGCTGGCTATGAAAAAAGATGTATTTGGAAAAGCGTCCCACCCAAAAGCTGTGCTCTGAGGAGACGCACAACAAAAGTTGAATTTTTCCTTAAATCAACATCACGTCCGTTATGCGTGTGCCAGCTGCTACTTTTCTATTAATATATATTATCGTCATGCCAACGTTCGCGGCAACGCTGAAACAGCGTTATAAGAGCTAGAAGCGAACGTCATGATATCATTTTTCCAACTTTTTGCATTTCCCTGGTCAGTAGCAAGGCGACAGTTGGTTTCACCGAGGCTATTTCCTTTTCGAAATTTTCTCCCATGCACTGCCGTTATTAAATTTCCTTCGGCTACGTCGCTTTCGGAACTTTAAACCGATCGCTCTCGGTTCTCCGCGCGGATCGAAACGGGACAACGGATGGCATCAGACTCCAGTACTGGTACCGACAAGTACTCGACGCAATTACCTGGCACAAACGCTGACGTCCAGGGCGGCCGCGTCCCCGAGTAAAACCTCCGGCGCCCCGATTTCCACAGAATACTTGGGAAGAACGAAGTCGGCGACCTGGAAGTGCTTCACCTCGTTCCAATGGCTCCCTCTCACGTCGACCTTCACCTTCCAGCTCCCCTGTTGGATGAGACGGGACACCCGCGAATACATCGAAATGGGCGGGAAAAAAAAGTATTTCTATTTCATCCACACAATATAATATTGTGTGGATGGGTCAAACGCCTTAGGTAGTAGGTATAATTTATGCCATTCGCCATATAGATGTCGCTGTCGATCCTCCACCAAGCGTGCTCACATCAAAAACTCCTCCACGGCCGAGCAGCGGACTCTTGTGACACGCGTGTTACGTTGAGGGATCCCTTTCGGTCGAATCCCCGAGCGAGTCCATTCCCGATTCCGCTGCCACTAAGCACGCCACAAAGAAAAGTTCTTCGTGACAAGCCCCCAGATGTCTGTAATATCTCGACCCCCTCCCCTACCTTTCGGAGTGTCGCCTGTAGCTACACTCTCTACTCGATGGTTTCGTGGTTCGTCCATGCTGCCGACAGGCCTACAAACACGTTCCATTGCAGAGCACAGGCTCGGCGGGACTGGACGAACAGCTAAGTTAAATGTAATGCGATGCATCCGCAGAACAGAAACTGCGAGGCATCGTAGGTCTGCACCGACCAGTGAGCAACGTGAGGATGTCGACGTAGCAACGTGAGGATGTCGACGTAGCAACGTGAGGATGTCGACGTAGCAACGTGAGGATGTCGACGTAGCAACGTGAGGATGTCGACGTAGCAACGTGAGGATGTCGATGTCGAGAGGAATGCCGAGTCGAAGCGGCGAAGGGCCGCTGCTGTGCAACATGAGGTCGTTTAAGCAGCGCGGAGAGCAGCGCGCGTTGGCGTCGAACCATCGACTCGTGCTCTCGCTGCGTCGATCGGGACGCACAACGTCATTCCGCCCGTTCCGCACGATCTCCGCCTTATGCGGAATGTTCTGTTGAGCACGGCTCAATTATAAGGGATAAAAGGGAAACACACCCAGAGTTGTTTCCCAGGATCGACGCTGTTGAGAACGATCATGCCGGTGATGCCGATCGGCAGGCGAAAACTTCCCGGTTTAATTCGTTCGCACTCTCGATCCTCCAAGACCCCTTCCCCATCGCCCGAAGCCTTAAAACTGGCCCCATCGTAATGCTCCTGCGGAATCTTTGGATCGGGAACGACCATCGCAACGGCACACACGCGATCTTGAGACAAACGAACGCAGACGTCGTGCAAGTCGAGCCGATGGAGGACGCGCCACGCGGCAGCGCTCACTTCCTGCATTTCGCGGGACCAGCGTTAGCCCACCGCGGATTCTCCATCTCGCCCGCCGATAATACGACGACGAAAAAGTCTCGGGGACAGCGACCTCATCGCGTCGGACTGCCGCTTCCAAAGTCGCCAATCGCCCGCGGGCGATCGCTATTCGCCCGCGAGCTTGCGCTGGGGATTCGCAAGTGCTTCTTTCATTGTCCAATCCATCAGTCGGGACTATTTTTTTGGCTCAATTTGGAACAAACTTCGAGTTTCGTTCCCACGTGTGACGCGTTTCTTCATCGTTCACGGTTCTTGCAATATTCGTTTACTTTACGAAGGTCGAACTGATTTTCGCTCATTTTGGGAGCATACTGGAGCATAACTTCTACTTCTCTTTTATGCATATTTGTTCCATCGTGAACTCAAATTTCGATAGCGAGAATCGGGCCAAGACTGTTATTTGATGAGCTGCGACGAAGAAGTTTAGGTTCTCGGGCCGCTAGTCATTAGAGAATTTTGCATGCGAAAGAAATTCGCGAATGGTCACGTGACATACCTGTGACAGAAAAGAGGAGGCACTATCTTGCAGATGAATAATGAGAATTACCGTATTGATATATTTTTTACAAATTAGATAATATACGAGGTTCGATCAGAAAGTAAGGCTACTAAACTGCCTGTAAGCAACTCGCACCAGCACGCACGTGTCCACCAGGAATCCTTGTAATATCAAACGTACCTACAATACTGCTTTCGAAAATTACCTCACCAACTGGCCAAAGCTGGGCTTACTTTCTGATGGTATCTTGTACAATTTACAATTAATCAACGAGTTACTGACTAACCTTTTTTTTTTTTGCATCATGCACAACATCATCGAGACCGAAAATACGATATGATCCATTTGGCAAAACGGAATTTGGCAAAAACGGAATTTGGCAAAACGGAACACTGACCACGGGCGCTTCCTCGTGAAGCCGATGCTGAAGCTGGACGATCCCGGCCGTGGACGGCAACTCTTTCCAATGGGCTTCCCTTTGCAGCGATGGACCTTTCACCCACACCTGTCTCACCTGCATCGATGACGTGGAATCACCCAGCATGAGACTTGAAACTTCCAACTTCAACGTGTGGAAGGGCAATATTGTAGACGCAAATTTTGACTATGCCAAATAAATAACTGGTACAGCCTTCACGACGACGCGAACAAAGGCACCGAGTCGGACCGTAATTCGAAACTGCACCGCCCTTGGCGACCACTTCATCTAGCCAGGATGCTGTTTTTCCTCCAGATTCACCGCTCGTCATTTCGTATTACGTTATCGGCGACCCACGACCAAAGAAGTCGACGTGCGTATCGACCGCATGCCATTCGACAGCGGTCTCCTTCAACTCCCCAGAACTTTCCCCAGATATATCGATTTCAGTAAATAATTCAAAACCTGGTCGTCGAGGGGCTTGAGGGCGGCATCGAGCACGAGGATCCAGAACCGGACGGTCTGCCCCGGAAGATAAAGCGGCTTATCCGTCTGGACGAAGACGAGGCTGCGGCGTTCCCCGACCTCCACCGGCTCGCTCTCCCTCCCCGCGATGCCCGGCGCCCCGTCCAGGGTCAGCCGGAGCTGCAGCTTCCCCATTTGACCCTGGATGCTCGGTATCCGGAATGGGAAGCATCCCCCGCTTCCTGCAGCAAATCCGGCATGGTGATTTCTCCGAATGTCCAGTAGAGAATGCAAAACGGCGGATCGAAAAGTTCGAAACTCGAAACCCAAAAGCAGAAGAGGACCTATTTCATCGATTGGAATTCGGCATGCGAGAGGAGATGCGCCGGGCCATCCCTTTAATGTATCAGATGCGCCGGGCCATCCCTTTAATGTATCAGATGCGCCGGGCCATCCCTTTAATGTATCAGATGCGCTGGGCCATCCTTTTAACGTATCAGGAGATTCATTTGTTTATATGCACTCCATTTCCATGGGCTTACCGATAAATTTCACTTTGCACTATTCCCGCGGTACGGTTCGGCATATCGGTCAAGTCAATTTCTGTTGCACGGTGGGGTTTTCTTTGCGAAATGCTTAATTACTTCCCCGAAATATAGCCGGTGTGGCTGATTATTACGAACGTCCCGCAAATACTTTCAAGGAGTTTCGTTTCGCTACCTCATGCAATAAATTCATATTAAAGAAATTAATTTCTCACAGCAATTCATGGCATGTGACATAATGAAACAACGCTTCATACCTCTTTGATTAAAAAAAAAAAAAGAGAGAGTAACCACCAGGTTACCAGGTAACCGTGCGATTTACCAGAAGGATGCTCGAAAACGGAATACCGTTTGCGAAAGGGTGGACGACGGTGGAGGCCAGGGATGCATTCCCCGTTTCCTTGGTGAGGCTCACCCTGGCCTTTCCCGCTCCTTCGACGTTCAACAGGTGGAGGCAGATCTGCTGGGTGGAGTTCGAGCGGAGTCTCTTCGGCGCCGTCATCAGATATCCTCTGGAATCAGGAGGGAAAGAAAAAATTATTTCAAAAAAATATAAGAAAATATTATTTTAAAAAAATATTAGATAAAATTATTTTTAAAAAATTGGAAAAAAAAAACTTGAAAAAATTTGCTATGTATTTAAGGTACTGTGGGAACATAAAAATGGAACCCGTGGATCGAAGTTTTGCTTTATAATTGCTGTAGGGGACCTCGAGAAAGGGCCTTGGAGCCGATTGCTGGCTCTCTCGGGTCACGCCGTGACCTGGTCAAGATTTGCATGCTTCTCATTCAACATTTGCATCTCCATGACCCTTGGCTGCAAAAACGTCAAATTTGCACCATTCTCATTGGGGCATGCAGCGCTAAATGGAAATTATGAATAGATATATGTTACTGTCGTTCTCCAGACGCCATGGCGCCAAAAACTGACAATTTTTCTCAGTCTTGTGCGTGCTCGTGATCGCGTGTCTGTGCGTGAGGGAAATGGGGAGCGAAAGACCGGCGCGACTTCAACTGGCGCCTATTGCAGCTGATTTTTTTTTTTTTCATTTGTACCTATGACGCCTTTTTTTTCCCATGAAACGCTTCGCTTTTGATTTGTGCGGATGAATGCTTCCTGGCAGGGTTGGTAATTTTCGTCGCATTAAAATGCAGACAGGAAGCAAAAAAAATTTCGCACGCTTAAGATTAATGAGACAGGGTCATAAAATGGATGAGGAATCCAAAACGATCCTACGCAACGTGGAAAGAACTCCAAAATACATACGAATTAATGGACAGAAAATCTGTCAATATTTTTGCCCTCATTCACTTCCAGGAATCATGCAGCAATCAGATGAAGCCTAAATCGCCTTTACAGGTGAACCGGTTGCCGAATGGCAGGATTTTTGCCTGTCTCGCCAATTCCTGGAAAGGAAAAGAATTTCTTGCTCGTCCTACGCCTCGCAATCCAGGTTTTCCCACGGCTTCGCATGAAAGGATTCGGCATCCGGCATCTCTTGTGATTCGGGATGGTGACTCTCCCGTTTCGTCCATTTCCTCCGAGCCAAAACGCAAAGAATATTGGGAGCCTGTGATTCTTCCGGTTTCACTCCCTAACCCTGGAGGCACAGGCAGACTGCCTGTGCCTCCAGGCCAGGCCAGGTCCCCGGGCCAGGCCTGAAAGGACTCTCCTTTCTCAGCGCAGGAGGTCCCGCCAGCTTGTAGCATCTTTCCTATCGCACTCGGCGCCGACGCATTCGCCACCTCTTCGGTATCGCCACCGCGGACAAAGTCCTCAGTCGTATCAGGGCGGCAGTCGTTCTAAAGGCGCAAAGGACGAGGCGCAACGGCAGGAATACAGTGAATGAGGATCACGGCGTACAACCCTTGCAGCCCCCTGGGCATGGCGTACAGGCCTAGCCTTTGTAGGCCTTGCGTGTCGGGCCACAGATGAGTGACGATCGGTCACCACCGCATTCGGCGTAGGGTAGCCGTGGAAACGTACCCGTACTTATAGAACAATATGCCAAGACGCCAAGAACGACCGCTTCGGCCTAAACAAACTGTTCTATTTTCGAGATATCGAAGAGGGAATCGTGCTCGTAAACCACAACGAAGCTGGGGGGGGGCAGGGGGGGGCAGGGGGGCAGGGGGGCGGGGGGGCATGGCATGCTAGAACCCAGATTTACCAACTCCAGCCCGTAATGGACACGCGGATGAGCCACGCCACGCTTGGGGTCAGCGAGTCCGGAAGGCTCTCTGGCTTTTCTGAGAGGGAAGTATTAATATTATGCAAGTAAAAGTAAATAAGTATAAGTAAAAAAAAATTAAAATAACGTTGTAAAACTAAATAAAAAAATAAAATAGTAAAATAAAAGAGGGAGAAGCAGGGCAAAATGAAGATGATGGAATATTTAAAAAAGTTGAGATCTCTTCGACGAAATTCTTCCCTCTTTTGGCTTTCGGCGCCGAGTCTCAGCGAGTGAAAGGATGCGGGAGGTCACGAGGAGCGGGCGGTCAGTGGCATCCCTTAAATGCTTCGGGTCTCCCCCTGAGCATTTCGGCTCTGCTGATTTTTATCCCTTACCGCAAGTTTTTCGTTGCCGTATGTGTGGAAGTTCTGAAATTTACAATTTGCATAAAATTTGAGACTCGTGCGTGCTGCGCATTTATTTTCAGGAGAAAAACTCTTCCATGAAAGGGACGGTACGATGTGCATTTAAATCACACTTTCTCTGCAGACTGTTGCCAAATGTAAGAGGTTCAAAAAATGTTTTTTTTTTTTTTTTTTTAAATAGGCACGGAAATCGAAGAAGTCTCCAAGGGTGCAGCCAGGAAATGGCAAACGTTTTCAGAAATGAGCTTCAGCTTCTCCGTGCATGCTGGAGACACTTGGCATATATACTTCACTAATTAAATTGGTTTAAACTAAGTCATCCTCAAGTCGTAATGGGAAGATGAACACGAAAATTAAATTTAAAATTAAAACGGACATTACAACGGACATTACAACGTTGTACTTGCCAAAGCAGCGACGACTGTGAGCGTTTTGCTCGTCGTCAAAATGGCAGACTTCATTCACGATTGGATTCTTTGCTCTTTTGCATGAAAATAGACAGGGGGAACTAAGACATGCTGCGATATGCTCCAATGCAGCAATTTTACCTCCTGGACATTCCAAGGATCACGTGAAGTCGGTATTTTAGGTTAGACTTCAAAAGAAGAACAATATCGGAAGAAATCGGAAAAAAAAAATCCTAATGGCATTTGATCACCATCTATGACCGGAATCCCGGAATCAGCGCCAATGCAAATCGTAATAGAGACATTTGTATGAATCTATAATAAAAAAATATAATGGAAATTTGAAACGTTAGAAACACTCTCCCATTTTCAATGACTCCTGGGTGTTACGAAGAAATGTAAACCCTCAAATTTCCCGGTTGTGGATCTGACACCAATTTTACCTTTTTTTTTTCTAAAAAAAAATTGTCTCATGAAGTAATATAGAATAATTCCGCATCGATTACCTTTTCTTCTCCATCTCCTGGGCAGGAGAAAGGAGCAGGAAGGCCGAAAGCAAAAGGAAGACACGGCAGCCCGTCATCCTGCTTGCATCCACGCAGGGTCGTCTTCCAGACCGACACTCTCTTCCGACTCTCGATCGGCTGCGAGGAGAAGGTGCCTCCTCCTTTCGGGGATCGGGGGAAATGGGATGGAGGACGATGCCTTCGGGTGGAGGACGATGCCTTCGGGTGGAGGACGATGCCTTCGGGTGGAGGACGATGCCTTCGGGTGGAGGTTCTGTCACGTGGTCGACGTAGAAGCCGGATGAGACTTGACTCACTCGATGAGAGGCGAATGGATGTTGTCTCAACAGCGGATCGAGTTCTCGTTCGCAAGCGAAATGAGCACGAAGAGGATGGGCGCCATGTTATGCACTTTTTATGTCGTAGTTGATGGCGATCTTGATGATTCTATGTTCGCGCGAGCAATGCAACCTATTTGAAACTTTTCGGGATTTGAAAAAAAAAAGAGCGAATAATTAAAATGTATTGACCCGGCCAACTTTTCTAGTTTTTTGCATATTATGCAGAATTCCCCAACACTTCCTCTGAAGCCATTGCAAAACCGGGCTCAAATAAAAGTTCAGGTGAAAAAATGTTGCAATATGTGAAAGCTTGAATTCGCATATAGGATATTCGGAACGAGTGATCGCAAGTGAAGAGCTTCACGAGATTAGACTGACGGATAATCTAATGAATGCCGAAGCTTCATTCATTCATTACGAGCATTCTCATCGGGAGATTTTTTTTTTGGGGGGGGGGGGGGCCAAGTGTCAAAATTTGTATGAACAGAAATAAATTTCTCATTTTTTTCTCCAAACGAGGCGATAAAAAGTATGCGAAATGAATTAAACAGAATGCTTAGCAGAATATTGGGCTTGGAATAAATTTCATGTGATTGCGCAACTCATCCGAGGACAAATGAGCCCTTCAAGGTCATTTAGGCAGCGCTGTCGGTAGGATTTTATATTTGCGCTGCAATTAGGCAGCGGGAAAAATGTAATACCGAGTGCAAAAAGGGGGAACGCATGAAAAAATTCTAGCTTAACCTGAAATCGCGCTTCATATGAAAATTCTTTGAGCCTTAAATTGAAGAAAGGCTGAGATTTTTCATTTCTGAAATTCGCATGCTAAATGAGCCAATTCCGAAGTGAGATCGAAAGTGAAAGAGCACGTGAGCTAAATTGAGCGACTCGCCACGGCTATATAGTGTCCTGCCAAGGCGTGACACCTGCCCTCTCGTTCTCGTACAATGTTCAGAAAATTGTGTATTCGACTTTAAAATAAAAAAAATCCGTGGAAATAATTTAAACAAGTTGTTGAGAATACTGTAAAGAGCCTGAATGCGAGTTGAGGTCGCGGAGGCCATGGAGCCTCCATTGACATTCATCGATTCCCCCCGATCTGCAGTTCGAGAGGAGACGGACCTCCCTCGCTCGCGTTCGAGCGATGAGAGTCTCTTCTCGGGGATGCACTGCGGCCGACTTGCCTCCAGTGAAGGCCCTCGTTCGATCCACCAGAATAAATGTATTAATGAGAGAGGCCTTTGCTGATGAGGAATCGAAAAGCTGAACCTTTTTTTTCCCCTGACAATATCAGTCTGGTTTAACATTGCAGGAAAGGACCGAGAATCTGGAGCGACCGATCGCTTCAACACAAGAGGTCATTCTCTGCCTGCGTTGTGTTAATATTTCGTCTTCATTCATGGATATGGGTGTAACGGGCACGGGGCGCAGTGGGCTGGATTTATGAAAATACCAACTATTAATTAAGTTCAAATAAAAACTTTACCTTAACGCGCCCCGATTCCACTACCAGGTCCAGGAAACTTCTTCCAGGATTCTTCCAGGAAACCAGGTCCGTGCCAATTCAAATTCGAGTAGGAGTAACTAATACGTAATTCAAGTAAACAAAAATGCATTTCCAAAAAGAAAAATTAATAATAAAAAAGACAAAGGAAATGTTAACCAAATAACCGGTCCAACCCCTTTACAGTAATTTCAATGACAAAGGGCTGATCTTCACCTCCAGATAAAACCTTGCAAGTTCTGGGGAAAACTCACGACCTTCGAAGCGAAACGATCCTTTAACTTCGTCGTTGTTCCTCTGTATGCTTTCTTAGAGAGAAAGGCGGCCAGTTTGAATACACCCACGATCTAAAAGGGCCCGAGTACCCCGGTCAAATCGCTGCTAACTCGAGTTCTTCGAGTTCGAACTCTTCATTCACCTCGGAGTGAGGGATCGAGGGAGGGATCTTCAGCTGAAATCTTGCTGGATTGGAGGATAGGTTTTGGCGATTAGACGTGATTGGAGGGACTTTGATACCCATTCGCATAATGATTGAGCTCTTCAGTCACCTCGGAGTGAGGGATCGAGGGAGGGATCTTCAGCTGAAATCTTGCTGGATTGGAGGATAGGTTTTGGCGATTAGACGTGATTGGAGGGACTTTGATACCCATTCGCATAATGATGCTATAGCTCCTTGTTTGGGTGTTTGGGTAGCCCATTCGGGAAGGAAAGATCCTGCATATAAACTGTAAGGAGCCCCTCCACATGTCGATGGACGTTTTAGTTCACCTCCTTCAGCTTCCTCCCCGCCTGGACTCTACTGATAACTAGACGTTGCTGGCTGGCATACGTTACATTGGTAAACGAATTTCAAAACATGAGCTAAATCTCTTAGAAAATTCCGAGTGTTTGGGGAGTAAAAAGTGGGCACACCTTGAGCTTTTCGAATTTCCTCTCTTATTACTCACCAAATGCTCCCTCATCGCTTGTATTAAAGTGAACACCTTCAAGTTCTTCTCCAGGCCACTAGATGGAGGGAAGGGTCTGGCTTTTCGGCACAGTACACAAAAGTTCCCTTCCCTCTTTCCCTGGAATCGTCTCTCGCAGGACTATTTAGTACCTTGCCATATGTCTCCCCTATTCTCATTATAGGAATCAATAAACACGGACACTTCATCATTTGTTATCCACATATTCAATACAATAATTCAATTCGTACATATTCATAGAGTCCAGGCCATAAACAAGGTCATATTCCTATTGAGAACCCTTTTGGAACACCTATGATTTCATCCGCATAGGAGACCTAGAATATACAGAGAGTGTCCGTGAACTTTCGTCAATCCTGTACTTAAATTCGAAGAGGTTAAAAGC